AAAGGACACTGGAAGTTTTGTGGTTAAAAAAAGATCAGGAAGACCTAAAACCACAACATAAAGTGTAGATAAGACAATTGTATTAATGAGTAAATGTAATAGAAGACTGAGAGCCCCCGAAATTACAGCCCACTTTAAGGAAAGTCATTCAAAGGCAGTATTTGCAAATACTCAAAATGGCGTCTCAGAGAATCAGGGATTTTCGGTTGTGTTGCAGTGAAATAATGATATATAGTGAAATAATATATCATTATTTCATAATATATCAACCTCTAGTTCATCAAATGCTGTAATTCATGCGTAGGAAGGGCAATTCCAAGAAATTGCCCGAATTCTACTAAAGGTTGGTTTCCATATAGTCGCACGTGCGACTATATGGAACAACTTTTGCAATATTTGTCGCACGACCCAGCTGTTTCCATTAATTTTAGAAGCGTTTTAAAATTTTTGTTAAAACAACAAAATCAAAGCAGTGGCTATGCTCCGCATAGCCTAATTGGGGAAAGGCCCAGCAATTATAGGGGTCTTTTTTGAAATTTTTAAGAGCTTATTTCAAAAATCAAGGAGCTTTTTCTTTAAGTAACACATAATAAAAGGGTATTTTCAAAAATTTTTAGCCCTAATGACATGATTTCGTAAGAGCCTCTGATTTACTAGCCACAACACTGGTAGTAAATTCTATATTTTTTAAATGCGTTTTTGCCTTAAAAAATTTTATGAATCTGTAACTGAATTTATGAAATATGCGTTCTTAAATAGAGTTTTTTTTTTTAATAATTAAACTAAAAAAATTTTTGTAAAATAAAAAATATTTCTCATAATTACTTTTATTAGTTTATGCCTATGTAAAAGGTATATCAAAAAATGTTACAAATACTGATTATGTAATAAAGCCTTACATTATTTTATTTTTATAAATATTGTTCTATTATTTTATTTGTAGGATTGTAGTTTTTACAAAAAATTATTTTAAAGTAACAAGTTAAAAACGTCTACTGCATAAAACTTAGATTCAACTTATTATTATAAAGAAACAGGAATCCTAACACTTTTTTTTTAACAAAAAAAAAAGATTTTTTTTTTCTGTTTTAATACTTTTGGACAATATTTCTCTTAACTTTAACTAACTTGATTTGTATCTCAATTTAGTAATAGCTAAAATAATATATATATATATATATATATATATATATATATATATATATATATATATATATATATATATATATATATGTATATATATATATATATATATATATATATATATATAAATATATATATATATATATACATATATATATATATATATATATATATATATATATATATATATATATATATATACATATATATATAAAAAATATATATATATATATATATATATATATGTATATATATATATATATATATATATATATATATATATATATATATATATATATATATATATATATATATATATATGTATATATATATATAATATATGTATATATATATATATATATATGTATATGTATATATATATATATATATATATATATATATATATATATATATATATATATATATATATATATATATATATTATATATATATATATATATATAATTATATAATTATATGAATAAATTAATTTTCAGAAATGGAAAATAATAAAAGGTTTAATCTCCTAAAATGCCAGCTTGCACTTTGCAATACATTACTGGCACTTAGAACATTGCAAAGTAAAGAGAAAAAAAAGAAAACACAAATTTTGGATACGTTCATTATTTAGTAATCTTTGCAAAAAAGGAGCATTTAACACACTAATTCCTGAGCTACACCTTCATGACAGAATTTTTGTATAGATTTTACAGAATGTCTCCTGAAAGGTATGAACACTTGCTGTCGATGGTTGCACCTAGCATAACTAAAAATTTTGCCAAAGTCGTCAAACTACATCACCTTTAAAACGATTGACTGTGACCTTCAGATATTTGGCTACTGGGGATTCACAACAAACACAATCTTTTTATTTTAGACTGGAACAACAGTATGCAACATAATCAATGAAACAACAAAGGCTATTTGGGATGTTTTGCAACCAAGTTATTTATAGGCACCAGAAAGTTCAGATGAGTGGGAAAAATAGCAAATGAATTTAAAAATGAGTGGAACTTTCCAAATTGCATTGGAGCAATAGATGGCAAACATGTATGTATTGAAGCTCCTGTTTCAGGTGGATCTGCTTACTACAACTACAAAAACTATCATAGTATGGTTTTGCTAGCCATATGTGATGCAAAATATTGCTTTACTTTGGGAGATATAGGTAGCTATGGTAGAGATAATGATGCATCTATATTTAATGAAAGTAAAATGAGTAAAGCTTTTAAAAATAATTTGTTCAAACTTCCCAAGAATTAACAGCTATCAAATGGCACACAAGTACCACCAGTGCTAGTTGGTGATATATTTTTGCATTAAAACCTTGGTTAATGAAACCTTTTTCTGGTAAAAACTTAACAATCAAAGAAGGTATTTTCAACTATCGATTATCTAGGACTAGAAGGACAATAAAAAAAATCCTTTGGAATTATGGTACCTAAATGGAGAATATTTAGACGTCCAATAAAACCAACTCATAAAAATATTGAAAACATCATAGAAGCTGCAATTTGTTTACATAATTACTTGAAACTTTGCTGATTTAGAAACAAATTCTGGTAAACTTATTCCTGGAGACTGGAGAAAAATTGTGCTTGAAGGTAATTCTTCAAACATTTTACCTTGATGTGTAACAGAATATTTTATCATCCAAGTGGATCCTTGTCATGGCAACATAACTATGTAACTAGTTGTAATAATTTTTATTTCATGAAACAATATCTGGAAATTCCACAGCAGCTAAATATTGCTGAATTTTTATTTTAGCATCTGCTTGGATTTTAGGAGGTAATCTCTTTATTGTTGCACAAATAGATTTACAAAAATATGTAATGTCATCATTTTCTTCAAGTGCACTAACTCCTAATGTTGCATTAATATTGCTCATAGTAGTGAGTATTGCATCTTCTAGTTTTGTATTTTCATTAGATCTTTTTAAATTCTTTTTTCTTATATTCATAGGAGATGTTATTTCATTTAAAGATTTTTGTTGATTACTAGATGTACTTGGCCTACATGTATTAGACAAAGTTAACACACTTGTATTATCATTTAAATGTTTTTGTATTTCGATTTACACTCTTGGTCAGTTTAACCAAACGAAACTCCTATTGCTGCTCAAGCATTTTTTTAATAAGGTTGTTCTTAGATTGTGTATCAAATTTGTCATACAGTACAGGATGTTTATGTACTTCCTGCATGAAACTCTCTTTACTAAATTCTTTTGTAAACTTTTCCTAACATGTATTAGACAAAGTTAACACACTTGTATTATCATTTAAATGTTTTTGTATTTCGATTCACACTCTTGGTCAGTTAAACCAAACAAAACTCTTATTGCTGCCCAAACATTTTTTTTAATAACGTTGTTCTTAAATTCTGTATTTAATTTGTCATACAGTACAGGATATTTCTTTACTTCCTGCATAAAACTCTCTCTACTAAAATCTTTACTGATTATTTTCCATTTTATTTCGATGTGAGTTTATTTTTGTTTTAATTAATATTTCGTTTTCTAATATTCAACCAATCGCATTGTAGGGTCGTGCGACAACTGTCGTAGAAATAGAACTTTTTCCATAGATATAGAGATAGAATTTTTTTTATCTCTGCGACACCTATGGCACGACTATAAAACAGTCTTGCAAGACAAAACTTGTCGTACGACTTATGTTTCCATATGGTAACGCGACTTATGTTTCTATATGGTAACTGTCTTGCGACATTCGCACTACATTCGCACGACTGTCGCACGACCATTTTAGATATATGGAAACCAACTTGAAGTATTTATTAAGAGGATTCCCACAAATAGAAGATTCCCATAAACCTAACTCAACGCATATTATTGACTAATTTTACAAAAAGGCGACAAATAATAAAAACTGTTAAAAGAAAGTAATTAGTTATCAATAAAATTAAAAAAAGTTGAATGTATAAGTGCTTCTGGTGTATTACGTTCATTTAAATTTGTCTAATTTTGCGCATTAGGGTGTTCTTAAAAACCTTGAGTTTACATTTTATATAGAATTATAACAAAAACTTCGAGTATTCAAACTTGAATACTCGATTTCGAAATGAAAATTTTAATGAAAGTAAGAAAGTTTCACAGACACATTGCGTTTCAAAGTTTTAAGATCTATCAGCTATAATAAAGTTTTGAAAAAGCTTTAAAGCATTAATGAAAATAAAGCCTACGGACCTGATAAGCTTCACTCTGCCTTGCTTAAACATTCATCAAAAGCATTTGCACTTCCCTTAACACAAATCTTTAAAGAAGTATTAGATTTGAGTCAACTTCCAAAGCAGTTAAAACCTGCAAATGTAACTTCTCTATTTTAAAAGAGTGCTAAAGCAATTGCAACAAATTATTGACCTGCGTGTCATACTTCAGTAGCCCTGTAGGTATTAGAAGGTAAATAAAATTGAAATTTATTTTTGCAAAAAAATAAAAAATTGCTATTAGAACATTATGATACACTGATAATCAAAAAGTCAAACCATACACTAATATTTAATCAGAAACAGTTGATTTTATGACATTAGGCATCGAATAAAAAATTGCAAAGGCTTTTGACGCATTTACTCATAAACAATTGTTTACATCTTTTCTTAGTATTAGGAGAGAGAGTTGTTAAGTATTTTAACAAGTGTACCTTAGTTATTAGACTTTCCCTATTTGTTGGTTATGTAAATTGTTTGCCTGACTAATGGTCTAAAGTCAAAGTCTTAGTCATAGACTTACTTTAGTTCTTCAATCAAGCAAATCTTTAAATTTTACTAATTTAAATTTTCATACATCTAAAATAAACCACATTGTCACAATGATTGTGAGGTTGTTTGATAGTAGTAGTTCCTAAAAATTAAATAAAATAGGTGAGTTCAGTAAGAGTTCCTAAGAACTAAATAAAAACAATATTTGATGCACCTTTCTAGATATATATGTCAATCTTAATCAATAATTAATTGTCAACTGAGAACCAAGAGGCTGTATGTCCAAATTTTGTATTTTTACTGTTTATTATTAATAACTATTTGTCAACCAGTGGAATATGTGTCAACTAAATTCGGTCTAGAAAGAAATGAAGCTTAAGAAAATATTTAAATAATCAGTAGGACTTTCTGGCAGAATGTCTTAATATACAAAAGTTAAAAACTCAATTTTTTTGATAACACAAGAAATGGCCTTCTTGGTTCTCAACTGATGCAATGGCATATCTGCAGCATTTAACGCTGAATTATATATGTGTATAGTACTTAGAAGACCTTTTTTTTTATTTTAAATATTTTAGGTTTACTGATATAAAAAAGCTGCTTTGGTATTGTTAGCAGTTTTAGTATTGTTATTTTCTTTAAAATTTTTATATCTGTATTAGCATGCTTTTAAGGTTGGTATTTCAAAACATTATTTTTAAATACTTATAATTTTTTTGCATCTTGTTTTCACTTTAAGCAAGTATTTTAAATTATTTATGGAGTTAACAAATTAAAAACATCATATTTGTATATTCCATTTAATTTAGTGTTAAAAAAATGTTTAAAGGTTTAAAAGTGTAAAAAGTTTGAAATAGTAAAAAATGTCAATATACTATTCTCTTATTTCACGTGGAGCTACTGTTCTTGTTGATTATGCTGAATGTTCAGGAAATTTTCGACAAATTGCATTTGCAGTTCTTCAAAAAACTGAAGTAGATAAAAATACAATGTGTTCCTATTCATCAGAGCAGTATGTTTTATTGGTTTGTTTTTGTACTATTTTTAAGTTGAAAAAAAAATTATGAGCATTTTTCAAATTTAATGTTAAAAAAGAACTTTTAGTTTTTTAATGTTTTATTTTACAATTAGATATCTGTTTCATCTAATAATTGATGATGGTTTGATATATTTATGCATGGCAGACAAAGATATGGGAAAGATTGTACCTTATAACTACCTTAATGAGGTAACAATTTTTAAATCAAAATTTTATAACTGAAAAATTATTAAATAATTCAAAAATAACTCAATTCTTAGTTAAAAAAATTTTTTTTTTATAAGTTTAACAAAAAAGCAATAGTAGTATTTATTTGTTTAATTGATTTAAGTTAATTTTTTCAACAAATAGAATTTAAAGAAATAGTCATATAACAAATAACAGTTGGTTTTTTTTTTCTTCATAAGATTTGCCAACAAATAATTTAAATTTTTTATATAAATTTATTTATACATGTTGTTACATTATACATATAGTTATACATGTTGAAGTCTAAAGAATACCCATGCAAGCAAGAATGTGCAACATGTACACTTAATATCAATAAGGGGTTTGAGCTATGAAAATACATTGGTGTGTTTCAATCTATCTTTAAAAGGGTATTTCCTCTACTAAGATAAGCCGACATATCTGCCAAATTGCACCTCTGCTATAAATAATAATCCTTTACACATAAGAATACAAACTATTAAAAAAAGATAGATATTAAAAACATTACTGAGTGCTGCGGAATTTGAGTTCATTATTTTCTTTTTTAGCCCAAAATTATTCAAAATTACATAAAATAATTTTGACATATTTTTTTGACATAATAAAATCTGTATTAAAAAATTACTTTTTTTTATGCAGATTTTAAAATCTGCATAAAAAAAATTGGATTTTTGCAATATTTCTTTATTGAAATATCCTATTGTTAGATGAAAAATAATTAAACAGTACAATGCCAATAATCTTACCACAAAATCCTGTAAATGAAGAGTATAAAGTTCTAAAATCTATATTTTTTTAAATAAAAAAAGTGAAGTAATATTAAGTCCAGGCTAGGGTTGACAGATGTCCGGCTTTTATGCAGGAGAACATTGTAAAAAAATTAATTTTTACAGGTTTGGCACTGTGTCATTAACTCCAGGCATAAAAACAAATTCTTCCACCCCCACCCCCCATATACACTTCTTTGTTTTGTTTTGATGTCAGAACTAATTCTATTATTTTTTTCTTTATTTTGTATTTTAATAGGTTTCTTTCTTGATTTAAAAATAGATATGGTTGATAATTGCCAATAGGAATGAAACTTTGAGTTTCATCACAAAGTTGTTGTTTTTTCTTCATAAAATTTAGTATTATACATATATATATATTTTTTTGTTAATTCACCTTCTCAAGGCTGAGAAGGCCACTACAGACAAGGAGGCTACTTATTTTGTGGTTATAACCCTCTCTCAACTCTATAACTCCGAAACGCAAACCATGACGAACAAGGCCGCTGGGCGGAGAAATGAGTTGAGCGCGGTACTACCAGGGATGTGGTAGGGATCGAACTCGGAACCTCTCGCTTATGAAGCAAGTGCTCTACCACTACATCACTACCGCATGTTAACTAATTGAAAATAAATTATTTGCTTTCTATATTGCAGCCATAATATTTTGCTATATATTTTAGAAATACCTTCAGCACCACCACAGTCAACAGGTAATTGACAAGTGACACAGTGTTGATGACAGAGTTGTGTTTTCCCTGTTCGAAATTCACCAAATATTTCAGTAATTGAGCCAGTTTCAAATCCACCTTGTAATAGTTTATCTAATTTTTTTGAACTATTAGATATCTAGATTTTTTCTGAACACTTTTGGTGGAATTCTGTTGCTGTTGTGAATCCCATTGGAACAAGTTTTATTACTTCACTTAATATTTTGACAGCTTTAGCTTCACTGATACCTTTTACAGCAAGAAGTGTTTTTTTAGGTGTATAATCCAATGATTCAACTGTATAAAACCCAGCTTTAGATAGTTTTTTTATATCACTGGCACTAATTCCATGCTGTTCTAACTTACTTACAAGTATTGGCCCTCCATCATCTGTATCTTCTTTGTGTTGCAATAAACTAGATGCAGCCATATCTGATATACTCATATACTTTTGCTTTACAAAGAGGTAGGAGATGGTTGGGAATAAAAGAGTGGATGGGAAATTTAGTCTAGATCTAATAAACAGGGGAAAGGGTCTTAGCAAAAGGGTGGTTGACAATTTTTTTCTTAAATCTAATTTCAATTTATCTTTGGCCTCTAATCAAAACCTTGTAAATCCAAATTAATATTTCTTACAGAACACAAAGAAAACAATATAGCTCTTAACAGCATTTTTTAACAGCTTTTTTAATCATAATTTCAATGGGGTTTAATATGCTTATATAAGTTTTATAGTAAGTAATAAATCAAAAGCTCACTTTCCACAGATATACGAGGTTTTTAATATTTTTTTTATAGTTTGACAATTTTTAAAATCTGGTTACACCTGATAACAGTTATTTTTATCAGTTACTGATATATTTGTATTATAATTTTGCTCCTTTTTTAAAAAAAACCATATAAGGCGCTTGCAGTCACACACCTTATAAGGCCACACATATAATTTTTTTTTTACAACTTGACTACATTTTTTGCGCATTAAAAATATTAGAGAAAGCGCTGAAAAACTAAACTAATAAGAGAAAACTAAATATAAACAAACCATAAACTGAAAAGAGTAGCAAACTTAACAAATGATAAATTAAATAAAGGATAAACCAGAAAAAATAAAAGCATAAAAGAAATATATATTTTTAAATTTAGGAGTGTCTCAATAAATCAGTCCTAATAATTAATTTAAGTTAAATTTAATACTTTAAGTGATAAATTTTTCCTACATCACTATGTTAGTGTAGTGCTTATGTTGATTAACTATTATAATTGTGTGACGCCAATGTTGGTTCCAAATTTGGATGACGGTTCAAATCCTAATTACGGATAATTTTTTTTATGTTTTATTTTCTTTGTAGACATTAGAAAGTATCAAAGTTTCAAATTTTTAAATAAGTAAATTTCAAAGTAATTAAACTTGGAATAAATAACTTTAAAACTTCATTTCTTTTTGAAACAATTTTTTCAAAATTCTAGTTAAAGTTAAAATAAAGGCATATATTAATTTTATGCTTTATTTTTTCTGGTTTATCTTTTATTTATTTTATCATTTATTAAGACTTTTACTTTTTTTGGTATAGTTTTGTAAAAAAATTTTTTTTTTTTTGTATTTTGTTTGAAAAGGATGATAGCGATGAGAATGACCAGGAGCTGAAAAATTCACCTGAAAATAAAATTGATCCTGAAATGAACGAATTGCTTACTGAGAAATAAATCCAATTCAAAATGACATTAAGTTAAGTAACCTATCTAATGAGTTTGATGCTGAGGTTGATGCTTGTTAAAGTTGATGGTGCTAAAAATTATTAATTTGGTAATCATAGTATTATAGATAAATTAGAGTTTGAACTCGGCAGCAGAAAAGATTATCGATTTGCATACACAAGCTACAAATTTAATATTTTTATACGTAATACTGTGAGGTCATGCAAACAATTGAAAACTGTTTTGTCATAGCTTTGTTCATTTGCTAAACAGACTCATCAGACAATTAAAATTGCTTGAATATTTCAACAACAAAAAACAAAGATTAAGAAACAAAAATTGAACTTGTCATCAAGCTTTTTAATTGTTGATTTGCATATCAAAAAAATTGAAACAGAAAAAATGTCCAGTTACTCAAGTAGAGATTGAATTCTATTTTGCAATGATGCTCCCAGCATATAAATTTACACTTTTAAATCAGAAAAATTGCGTATATATTGGTGATTTGGTACCAAGTTTACATTTGTTAAAAATGCAATATGAGGAAATGGCTATAAACAACGAAAAAAGAAAAAATTTTGCAAACTGTTGATAAAAAATGTTATAAATCAGTTTGATCATGAGCTTAACTCTGCTGTTTATGTAGCTGCTGCAGTTTTAAATGTTTCTAAACTTTACCTCTAGTATCAAAGCTTGATAGCTAAAGCCACAATCAATTTAGGCCTAGGCTAATTAGTAAACTTGGCAATTGAATTTTTAAAAAAATGGGAAAAATGATCTGACTGCAAATGCTAAAAATAGTTTCACTCAAAAAAGTGTACCTGGCGATGAAGTCTTTGATCAGTTTTACCAAAGCATAGAATTGGATCAAATAGAATACAACAAAACAAAAATCAACATTAAGCACTTAGCTGATAAAGAAAGAGATAATTTTATAAATATTCTAAGAAACCACACTTTCACCAACAAAACTTAGTACAATGCATTTTGGTTTGATAAAAGAAAAGAATTGCCGTATCTTCATAATTTGTGTCTTATGCTTTACAATATACTGACATATCCTCCACATATGTTAAACGCTTTTTTAGCATATGCGGTGTAGTTAATAGAAAAATAGCAGGCAACATGACAGATAAAATATTAATAAGTTGCCCTTTTTTAAAAAGTAACTTAGCTATACTCAATGTATAGGCTGAATAAAAGTATTTTCCTTTTTTCGTTTGTAAATAAATTTCTTGATTATTGTTTTGTTTATGAGTTGTAATTACATTTTTGAAAACTATAATTAGCTTTCACTTTTATTTTCTTATTTCATTTTTCTGTTTGAAATGCATTGAAGTAAAACATCATTATACTGAAAAACAAAATTATATTTTACACTCAAAAAATTGCTTATTTTTACGCAAAATACTCAAAAATAAAAATTGTATATAAAATATTTAAAAACAAAATCTCATGCTAGTTTATGCATATATAAAAACTACAAAACTCTATTTGAAAAAAATTCGTAAAAACCTAAAAAAAAAATATTACTCTAATCTAATCACAAAATATAAAAATGACTCAAAACAAATATGGAAAATATTGAAAGAAATAACAGGAAAACAGAAAATCTGTTCAAATTTCCTTCCGAAAATGATTAAGATAAACATATGTGTATATGAACCAAATGAAATAGCAAAAGAATTTAATAAATACTTTACTGATATCGGAAGTAGGTTGGCTGATAGGATACCATATACAAATAATTCCTTTAATGATTTTTTGACAACTTCAAATAATTTACTTTCTTCCCATGACTTATTCC